GTACATATCACAGATCTTACAGGTTGAACTTCTATAATCCACTGTAGTGCTAATATGATAGCTATTACTTCAGTAGTAAATACCGAGGTATGATCCGATATTCTTTTTGCAATTTTAATATTAAATGTAGGAATAAATACTGCTGCTGCAGTTCTTCCAGACTCTGGTTCCTTTGACCCATCCGTAAATACCTGTAATATGGAATAGTACTCTCGATTTACATACTGTTTAACTACTAATTCAGTTGATATTGTAATTGGTTTATTTATTTCTTTATGTATTTCTAAATCAATTAATGGCATGGGATACATCCAGGGAGGAATTGCTGGTATTGGAACAGATGGGGCTATTAGATGTTCTTTCAATCCAAAACTATCTGCCTCCTTCCGTACTAACCAACCAAAGCTTGCTATTTCTTTGTATTCATATTCCCAACATTCCTTCAACAATATTTTTACTGGATGATTTTCCTGATGTCCACATACACCAGACCAGTATCTCATCCTCAATAGCATTGTACGTTGTTCCAGCGGTAATTCTCCCAATTCAACTTGTAGCGATACTACCGGAGAAGATTTAAATGCTCCACAACAAATTCGCAAGGCCTGATTTTGTATTACTTGTATTTTTTTAAGTAAAGTTTTATTCGCTGAGCTGTATACCACACTTCCATAATCCATATTTGACCTTATCACTGCATAATAAATTCTTTTCAGTGACTGACAACTTGCCCCCCAATCAACACCTGACAAGCACCTTAAAACATTTATTCCTTTTTTACACTTTTCTATCACTTTCTGAATATGAACTCCAAAATTTAACTTAGAATCCATCCACATACCCAGAAATCTCACTACTTTGACTTGTTCCAGCTGATGACCATACATTTTAATATTTAACTTAGGGTTATTTTTCTTGTTAGTAAAGCAAATTACTTGTGTCTTTACCACAGAAAACTGGAAACCCCAACTATTCGCCCGTTTCTCGACCTTCTTCACTGCTTTTTGCATTTTATTTTCTACAAACATCAAATTACGTCCCCTTTTCCACAATGCCCCGTCGTCTGCAAACAACGATCTTCCTATTCCAATTTCAATATTGTTAAATATGTCACTAATCATTAAGTTAAAAAGAATAGGGCTGCTCACACTTCCCTGAGGGGTTCCATTCTCAATAGAGATCCTAGAGTATTCCGACCCCACTCTAACTTGAATCGTTCTTCCAAACAAAAAAACTTGAAATCCAGTTAAACATTTTTCCCTTGATTCCCAAACTTTCCAATTTCGGCCACAGATATGTGCGCCTGCCACTACGTTATATGCTCCTGCCACTCAATCGGCCACGGATATATGCGCCTGCCCCTGTATTATATAGCGCCTGCCACTCGACCAGTCACAAATATGAGCCTGCCACTCGAACTTACACAATATTTAAGATAGGTTTTCAAACCAAATGCAGCGCATATCCCCTGAAGCCAGCGGGAGCCAGAACGGTACGCACAATAGGTCAATATTCACCATTAACCAAACGCTTTTCGTCTGCCTAGCCATAAGATCTCTCACTGTTTACACTTATCAGACACTCCTAATGGTACACGAGAGCACACATACAGTGCAATACAGATATTATCTACCCATTTATCACCTGATCTTATTTTTTATTCGCTTTTTTATGCGTATGGGAGCGCGTTCGTGTGGGTCTATTAAGCGCCGCTCCAGCCACCTGCCACACGATCTCTCACTGTGTTTATACCTGACACTCCTAATGGTACATGAGAGGACACATACAGTGCAATACAGATATTATCTACCTATTTATCGTCTGATCATATATTTTATTAGCTCTTTTTATGCGTATGGGAGCGCGCTCGCATGGGTCTATTAAGCGTCGCGTCACCTGCCACACGATCTCTCACTGTGTTTACACATATCAGACACTCCTAATGGTTGGTACACGAGAACTGAGACGAGGACGTTCTCCTTCCACTACTTTTTGTTACCGGCTGCTCACGGCTTAGGAGTATTACCGCCCCTAAGATAATGTGCTGATATAGCTGGAAGCGCAAAACTTTCTGTTTACAAGCAGAGGAAGATGCGCGCTGTACATACCCTTTTCAATTAGCGTATTTTCCGCACTATAAGGTGCACTTAAAAGCCTTTAATCTTCTCAAAAAACGACAGTGTTCCTTATAATCTGGAGCGCCTTATATATGGATCATCATCTTATACGGTAGGTGGCGGTAAAACTCCTAAGCAGAGCAGCCGGTAACAAAATGTAGTCAAAGGAAAACGTACTTGTCTCAGTTCTCGCGCATGCGCCCATAAGTAAGTAATAGAATAGTCGAATAAAGTCGTTATTTATGTTTTTTTCGCACAAAAAGTAGTCTCGTCGCTTGATAAACTTATAATTGAGCCGCTGTAGGCACATGGAATATTTAAACCTTTTCTTTAATGACTTTATGGGCCGTCAAGAGCCAGTCCCTTAGGCAGTCTATGTAGGACTGATCCAGCTCTCAGATTAAATCAAAAATATCTTTATTTGTGTTCCGAAGATGAACGAAGGTCTTACGGGGTTGGTACAGCATGGGGGTGAGTAATTAATGACTTAATTTTCATTTTTGGGTGAACTAACCCGGAGAAGTACATACGAGCTCATGCACTTGTGTATAACATTATAGAAATAATAGAGCTCATGCATTGTTGTGTAATAAATTATTATTCATTTATTGCCAAGATTGATTCTAAGTAAAAACTCTGGTAATGAAGCATCTCGTCTGACTGTTTACTGATAAACCTGCTCCCTTTCAGGAGTGCTACATTAGCAGGGTTAAATTTGTGTAAAAATTTTAGTGAAATGTCTTTCAAACTCAAAGTCCATACTGGCAAAGTCAATATTGTCAATAAAGTTCATCCAATATGACGCCACATATGGAGTTGTTACAAGCTCCTTTTAAAAGAGAGATCTAATTCTAGAATTACGGGATGATGAAGGATGCGACAAAACGCACAGTTTTCCTACAGGGAGTTCAAATGGGGTTTTGTTTTATCTGTGGCAGTTGTAATGATATAGAATTTGAATGTGATTTTATGATTGTTTTGCTCTGTCCCTACAGCACTGTGGTCAACTGTGGTTGTATTAATGTGTGTGTGTACTCTATAGCAGTGTTTCCCAACCCTGTTCCTGGCGGCACACCAACACTGCGTGTTTTCTTTGTCTCCCTAATCAAGCACACCTGACTCAACCCATCAGCTCATAATCAGGTGGGTTAATGAGCTGATGGGTTGAATCGGGTGTGTTTGATAGGGAGACAAAGAAAACACGCAGTGTTGGTGTGCCGCCAGGAAACACTGCTCTATAGGCTTCTGTATTAACTGATCTGGTTGAATGGGCACAGTAGCATTATATAGTTATCGTCAAAGTTCGTAAGGAGGATTTGAGACAGCAATTTCACTACAACTTGTGAAATGAAAAAAAGAAAATGCACTGAATTGGTACCAGTTCTAAGTTGATAAATCTACAATCAATAGAGTGCCGAAGTGATGACGTCACTTGTAGGACAACTCGGAAGCTAGCGGCGCATGGGTTCCCTCTGTCGAAAAGCTATGCACAAATCGTTCTTGAATCGAATCAAAAACCTATGAATCGTGAATCGAATCGATTCTCTGTCTACCCAAAGATTCACAGCCCTACTGCACATGCTTCAGCCACTTGCTTGGGAACACTTAAAAGTGTTAGTGTATTGAAGTGATACAATGAAGTACACTGGGGGGAAATGTGATCAATAACTCATGGCAACATATTTTTTACATTAACTATGTAGTTTCGCAGTCACATATGTAGACTTTCACAAGTCAAAGCAATTCATTACTACTCAAGGTTTAACAGCTGATATGACTGGACACTGCAGTAAGCTGACTTTTTCTAATGTTACATCAAAAGTGAAGAAAGTACAACACTTTGTAATGCCCATTTTCCCCCAATGCACAGGACAGTGAAGAAACCCTCTCAGGTATCTTTAAGTGCATAAATAGCTTTACTTAATTTACACTTGAATACCTATTATTATAATATGAGTTGCAGGAGTCAACATCTACAGAAGAGTCTGCAGAAAGCAGCGATGCAGAGGTGGGCAGTGTTGTACTTTTCCTTTTAATTTTTGATGCATAAGCCATGTGTTGACAGGTTCACCCCTACCCCTAGAAAACAGAGTATTTTGAAAATACTTGACAACTTAAAGAAAAAAAACTGGCACTAGAGATAGAGTTGCTTCATAGGAACTTCAGAATAAGTGCTAATATATTATTTCACACAGAGTACAATATTATTTGCAGGCAAAAGATGACTTGATCACTGGCTTTTCTTTACAAAGAATAATTAAAATAAAACTCAAAGAACTAAGCATATTTGTCTTGTCTTTTATTAAACATTAATGAAATGTTTTATATTTTTTCTGATGGTGCAATGTTGTGTAATTGTTTTATGTTTTTAAGAAACATTACTAAAATTGAAAAAAAAAATGGGAATATTTAATTACATTATTGTCCAACTGAATACCTTGAAACAGATTGATTTTAATATGAAAATACAACACTTGCATCACCAATGGAAATAACATAATATAGATTGACTCTAGGAGTGGTCCCAAAAGATAATTTAACAGAACTATTGCAATTATCATCCACATATGAAGCCAGATTGACAATCATCTATGATTTCATTAAAAAAATTACTAACTTTAATCGATTTACGATATAAGTTATAGGCCTCCAATTCTCTATAAATCTTCAACCGGCTTAGGAATCAGTTTAATCAATCCCTGGAACATAGTTGGCAACAATACTTAATTGTCCAAAATTCTAAGATATCTTATTTAAATTCTTTGTAAAATTCACAGGTCAAGAAACGATGATTTGAAAATCTTCCTCTTTGTCATCCTCCAGCACTTTAGGTGGCGCCATGCTCCTTTTTTACTAGGTTTGCAACTCCCCAGTAAATGCACAGAAGAAGCAAACGTCATAACGCTGCGCTGCATTTTCGTGTGTGAGGGGATTCGACTGAAGAAAGGTTTGAGTTTTAAGCATTTTAAGCGTTTATATGGCTAAAACCCGGTGATTCAATGTTTTAGTTTTTGCAAGCGCTGTAGAATGAATGGATTATCATTCAACGTGACATTGTAATGCTGTATTAGTCTTATTATTGTGAGTAAAGTGCATCCACACAAGTAATAGAAAAGATGCGTCTATTTTTCTTGGTTAATAACTTTGGAGACGTCCCCAAATGCGTTATAATTTAATTTACATTTTATGTGCATTCATGTTTTCATCCTGGAAATTACTTTTTCTCTTTTCAAACATTTTAACTTTTTATTTCTCACATCCGGGCCATAACGTTTTAACCGCTCGTTCACTTTGACATACCGAAAAGCAAAACAGTGATTTTACTATTGACTATTGAAAATCCATACGAATTAAACAGAGACACTTGCTATTATTTATATTAATTATAGATAGTACTATTATAAATTGAAGCTATGGCCTTTTAGTTACTGAGTTTGCACCCATTATCTAAACCCATCAACCACAGTTTACAAAGAAGAAAAAAAAATATATTTCATCTCATATTTCATGGTTTAAAGGGAAAGTTCACTTCAAAATGAAAATTCTGTCATCATATACTCACCCTCAAGATGTTTCAAACCTGTATGAATTTCTATCTTCTGCTGAACACAAAGGAAGATATTTTGAAGAATGTCAGAATCAAACAGTTAACTGGACCTATTGCCTTCCATAGTAGATAAAAAAAGTTTGTTTGGCTATTCTTCAAAATATCTCCATTTCAGGTTTGAAACAACTTGATGCTGAGTATGACAGATTTTTCATTTTGAAGTGAACTATCCATTTAAAGTGGAGGACATACGCCTGTATATGTATGTCATTCCTTGTTTAAGATTATCATACATGGACAACTAGTCCTGGGCGCAGGGGTTTTACTGCGTGATAAAATAAGCAACCACAATGGTTCATCGTCTCCAAATCATGACCAGAGACGGATAAATATTTAGTCTGCTGTTTAAAACAAATGAAGAACCAATAGAGGAGAATAGTTATGCACGAACAGCATGTCAAAAAAACAATTCTGATTGAAAAATCTTGTGACATATAAACACGCACATCAACCATACTTCATTTATTGTTCATGTAAACACAGTGTTCGGATTCATCAATCAAATTGATTTCATTTTCAGATTCTATTTACAAAACCAAATGAACTGAATGAATAATTTGTCATTCATGTCCATGATTTTGCACTGTTCATAGCTAAATTCTATTATGATAGTCCCAGAGGCAGTTGTTGTCCCCTGAACAGCAGAGGCGGACAATGCAGGTTTACAGGGTTTCTGCGGATCCTTAAAAAGTCTTAATTAAATTAGATTTTTAAAATAAAAGGCCATAAAAAGTCTAATTTTTACTTATGAGAGGTCTTAAATTTTAGTTGACACTTCGACTTAGTCATATCTAAATTTTTTCCAAATTAAAAATATCTTATTTGCGTATGTATTATTTTTATTAGCCTATTCTATCTTTGTGGATTTGCTTGTTCACGTGACAATTCGCATCACATTCGCGGCAGAATAACGCCTGTGTGCTGCACGCGAGAGAAGAAAGTTCAGAAAGTTGGTAAATGTCAGTTCAATCGTAAGTTATGTGCGTTGTGTTATTGTCTATTATGATATTCTAATTGTTTTAACGATGTACGGGTCACTGTGAGCAGACATCGCAGTTGTCTTTCATAAAATGTGTGCAGTTATAGGCAGACATGTATTTATTATGTCGATGGTTTTATAGGTATGTCCCCAAATTAGTTTTTGTCTGATATTTATGTCATATTATGTTCTTAAAACATTTTGAGTTAACATTGTGAGTTACAGAATAGTATCAATATTGTTTGTTTTCCCTTTATTTTGCCGTCTAGAATTTCAAAATGAAACCATAGCAGAGTATAATGCAACAGACAGCGATGATTTCATGAACAAAATCCGCGTTTTGAGTGAATAATTTTAACGATTCAATGAACAATCACTTGCTTCTTTCCCGAATTAATCAGCCGTTATAACTAGTATAACTTCACAATCACAGTAAGGTTAGAACTAAAAAAAGATGTGCTTCTTGATCTTTGCGGGGTTTAGCTGACTGAGGACATCCATACAGTTAATTCCAAACACGACACTTGTCACTGTCAGGATTTTACTTCGGTTTTGGGAAGGGAAAAAACGGACACCCCCCTCCAATCTCTCTGGGAAACGCGTATCTGTGTTGCAAATGCCCGAGGCACAACGTTTAATCATATTTTGGATAAAACTTCGAGGGTAATAGGCTGCCGAGACCAAAAATATGAAGCGCTGTGAAAACGTGTCGGACCTCTGTGGGAGCTCGTTCTTGGCTGGGCTGTGATTGGTCAATCTACATTCTAGGGCGTGGCTTAGCCAAAGGTGAATTACTCCTCAATGGATCGAGGCCAGACCGAACTTCCTGACCAAAAAATGTTGTGGGCGGAGTTCGGGCTGGCATCCAGGCTAATACCACAGCAGTGTTCATGGGATTAAATAATTTGTACGACTAGATTAACAATCGATAAATCAACAAATTAAACTCACTCATACTGTAATAAATTATTAAAAAGGCATTCAAATTTGACACATAATACATTTTCTTGTCTCTAATAATCAACATACAAAATATAAAATACAGGGGAAACAGTAAAATTAGCTGCAGCAGTGCTAAAATTTATAAAATTACAAGACACTAACTATCAAACTCACTTACACCGTCGATGGTTTCTTTTCCATGCATCATTTTATTGCATCCATGTATGTGGTTAGTCAAATCATATAAAATGGCAGCCTGGCAAGCAATACCCACATCAAGATGTTGGGTCTGGGAACTCACCATTGGCATGCCTCAATCCGAGGGGTGGGATAAACCGTTGTCTTTCAAATTCCCTCTGTACGTAAAAGGATAGCGCTACAACCAACCAGTACAACAAATGGCTGAGTGAGTCCATGAGTTTCCGGTCGTTTAAACTCCAAACACATCTTCCTTTTTTAAGAATGACTTAATGACAGTTCTTTTTCTTCTCAAAGAAAAGCTTAACTCCAAGTCCTCCAGTTGTGGCCAAAGCCGATTTGAAAGACCACTGTTCGTCAGCAGCAGTGGTCATCTTTACTTTCAAGTAGCAGGGAATTCACAATGAACAGTCACTATTTTGCTGTCATTATATTAAGCCCACCCACCAACTCTACACACGATGTGATTGGCATGACTAGAGGTTGTTTTTTCCAGCGCGAAAGCCAACGGAGAGTTGCTGTTGCCGCTGGGTGCATCTAGATTTCTAGGCTAATAAAACAGTGAAATCGCTCCGAAACTCTGATCTCTGCACTCAAGACGGTGACGTGAGCTCCACTGGTAGTGGGAAGTTTGGAAAATTTTCCCTCCTATTGGCTGTCACTTGTGAAATTCGCTTCTTATTTCCATAAAATTTAAATTTCTGAACTTTCTTTGCGTGTCTTGCGTCGCTTGACACGCCCTCATTTTTTCACCAATGGTCACTGTTGCTCATGTTGCCTGAAGTCGGCAGTCCCCCTTTGAAATTTATGGGATCATGTCGCTTTGTCACTGGCTGTGTGAACGCGGCTTAATGTCTCATAACATTACAATAAGCACATAACATTACAATAATTTAGACCGAATTCAGTGATTGGACATTTTTGGTTCTGAGACTTCAACAGATGATTGACATATTTTAAAATGTACACCACAAATAAGTGTTTGAGAAAATTGCCTACCCTAACTTTAACACTCACTCTGACACTCCCTTACCGACCAGTGCATTGAACTAGAGCTGATTGAGACGCACCCAGAGATTTAGTTTGGATCTATTTTTCTTTGTTAATTATTCTTTTGTCTTAAACAGGGACAGAGTGTCCAAACAAACAGAAAAAACTCCTGGTGAAGCAGCTGAGATCCACGTGACACAAGATGGCGTTGATTAAAGAGGAGAGTGAAGAAATTAAGATTGAAGAAGTTTTCAGTTTGAAACAAGAAGATACTGAGGAACAAATAGGTTGGTTTCATACTCCAAATTGAACTCAGTCATTTAAAATGGCCATGTCTACATGAATGTATTAAATTTTTCAAAGAATGTCCTATTTAAAGCAGTTTTATTTGACGTGTATTGGGACCTCTTGGGCAGTGGGGTGGGAATCTGGCACCTCAGAATTTGATTATGATTCAGAAGGGTGCGATGATAAAATGATTATTGATACATTTTGTTTTCTATACAGGATTTCTTCTTTTCTGACTGTTTTAGGTGAGTCTTTAGTCACAATCTGATTCGATTCAGTGAGTCATGATCTGATTCCTAAACGATTCTTGATCTACATATTTTATTATTATTTATAAGGTTACAAATTTAAATCTTACATTTATTTGTCCTTTATTATGACTATTATTTGTACATACTTTTAGTGACAATTTTATTACTTGTCTAATAATAAATAGGCCTACTTTTTAAAATAATTTAAAAGTTTTAATCAAATTGTGTAAGAATTTTCATAGTACTAGGGTGTGCACCTATACTGGTCTCACGGTTCGATTATGTCATCGATTCAGTTCAATTTGAGATCACTAAGCACTGCATCCTCAATTTTCAATTTTACTTCACATGTATAACATTTTGTCAATAACTACAAGACTCTGCCAGGCGTTAACAGCTCGAGGTGAAAACGGCTGACGTGGTCTCAAGTTATTACCCCTGCATATTTTATTTGTGCGTGACTGCCGTGACATGACTTACACACAATGTTCTCCAGGTCGTGCTTACCAGGTTGGTCATAAAAGCTGAAATGTGCCCAGACTTTTAAAGTAGTAGGAACATTTTTAAATACTCGCATCTCGCCTCACTCTGCCATTATATGCTATCGTGACAAAGCACGTACGCCACAAATGACGTCAGAAAGCGTCAGCACATTATAATCGGTTATGGTCTATTACTGAACCGATACCGAAGTGTCCTCGTCAGCATCGTAGTAACGATTAATTTCGACACCCCTAATACAGTATAGTTTCACAACATGCTAGCAATTATGACACATAAGCAAGTAAATAAAGATGAACAAAGAAATATTACAAGCAATAAACAGAGTTCTTTCACTATCTAAGGCCTTGTTGGCCTGAAACGAGACTTCAATAGATTTCCACGACGCATGCACGAGAATTGAGATCTCCTTCAACTACTTCAGTTCAGTTCTCGCGCATGCGTCGTGGAAATCGTATGGAAGTCTCGTAAACAAAAATTATTCTCATCGCTTGGTAAACTTATAGTTGAGCCACTGTAGTCACATGGAATATTTAAACATTTTCTTCATTGACTTTCTGGGCCGTCAAGTGTCATTCCCTTAGGACCCTATGTGGTAGTTATACAGCTCTCAAATTTTAACAAAAAAATATCTTCATTTGTGTTCCGAAGATGAACGAAGGTCTTACGGGGTTGGTACAGCATGGGGGTGAGTAATTAATTACTTAATTTTCATTTTGGGGTGAACTAACCCTTTCACAAGTCATTTTTTGGAAGTCCAAGTCAAGTCTTTGAGCTCGAGTCCAAGTCAAGTCTCAAGTCTTTGAGCTCGAGTCCAAGTCAAGTCTCAAGTCTTTGAGCTCGAGTCCAAGTCAAGTCTCAAGTCTTTGAGCTCGAGTCCAAGTCAAGTCTCAAGTCTTTGAGGGGCAAGCTCAAGTCAAGTCTTTTGCCACGAGTCCAAGTCAAGTCTCAAGTCTTAAATTATTAGGCATTGTCTAATTAAATATGTGCGAATTTGCATATATTTAAAAAAAAAAACGAAATCTGAATAGCCTATTAGATAAAGCCAGGTTTAAAATATTTTTTGTCATTGTGTTTACAACTTCACATACAGTAATAGATGGGGGAAAAATATATATTTATAGATATATCTACTTTTGTTATGCTGTTATCAGATAGCCTTAAATAGATTTTCGCTATGTTTTTAGAAAAACAATGTTATATAAATCAAGCTAGGAATAATATATTTACAAATCCATCTGTAATAGTCTTCATAAAACTAGGTACAAGACTGGACAGTTTGGTGTATTAGGTTTGGTATATAGGTGCTACTGAAGTGGAGATTTCAGAGAAAAGTCATTTTGAGAAAACGCAAAATGGGATCTAAAGATTTCCATCAGGCCAATGAGATTGCTCATTTAGAGTTAAATCCCCCCTTTTACTTTCGCGATTGGTTGCTGATTAAAAGGAAATGACCATATTTGGATCCGACAACATTGAACTGGAGAGAGGGAGAGAGAGAGCTTTCTAGCGATGTCTGTGATGACGGTGCAGATCGCGGCGCAGCGAGATGATTTACAATGCCAACTTTTGTTGAATTTATGAGAAATCTACAGACGCAAAGTCAATGGAGACGGTTGGATTGTTTTCCCCCGCTGTGGGCGTGGCCTAAATACGCTCAGCACAGTATGACAAAGGGGGACATGCAGCTTATCATACGCTTCCCCAACGTATGCGCCAATAAAAGAAAATAGAAATACATTAAAATGAATTTAGATTTAAAAAGCAATAATTGCATGAAAACAGGTTGCTGACAAGTGTTTTGAGTCGCAAGTCAAGTCTGAAGTCTTTTGGGTCAAGTCACGAGTCAAGTCTGAAGTCAGCGTTTGTGTGACTCAAGTGCGACTCGAGTCTGAGTCTCAAACTCGAGTCCCCATCTCTGATTTTGCATACTAATCGGTCTGCGTATATCAAATGAAGCATATCACATAATGCATCATGAGCCATGTCTGCTCTTTAACGTTTTCTGCTGATATGATTCCAAAACTGATTCCCGCCGGCTAGTCTACTAGCTGGCTGCAAACTGTGGAATGGATTTCCCGAATGCAGACGCGGCTCAATGAGACACAGATTACATGGGTAGGGTACTTTAAGTACTGTTTGTGTGATGACTGTGTTTTTCCTCCCTCACCCCAAGACCATTTTGACCAATGAAAACTCTGGATGAGTTCGGGTATATAGCCTAAATGTCGTTGGTTTTGATGCTGAATATTTAGTTTTAAGCCATTATATTGGTGTCAACTTGTATTTGTTTTTTTTGTTTTTTCATCTTAGACCTGCTGGCGCTGAAAGAGGAGAGTTCCAAGGAATTGGAAGAGAAAGATCATGATTTCATGACTGGAAAAAAATCTCCACCGATTAAACCCTCACGGAAAAGAGCTAAAAAGACAGGAATTAAAAAGAATTTGTCCTGCCAACAGTGCGGAAAGAGTTTTGATCAACGTGCAAACCTTAGAGTCCACATGAGAATTCACACTGGAGAGAAACCTTTCACCTGCAAACATTGTAAAAAGAGTTTCAATGAAAAAGGAAATCTTAATGTTCACATGAGAATTCACACTGGAGAGAAGCCTTACACCTGCCAACAATGTGGAAAGAGTTTCACTCAAAAAGGAAATTTTACAAACCACTTGAGAATTCACACTGGAGTGTACCTTTTCAACTGCCAACAATGTGGAAAGAATTTCAGTGAAAAGGGAAACCTCAAAGTTCACATGAGAATCCACACTAGAGAGATCTCATTCACCTGCCAACAGTGTGGAAGGGGTTTCACTCAAAAAGGAAACCTTCAAAAGCACATGAGAATTCACACCGGAGAGAAGCCTTACGCCTGCAAACTCTGCCAGAAGAGCTTCACACGGGAACTAGGCCTTAAGTACCACATGCAAATTCACACTGGAGAAAAGCCGTTCAAATGTTGTAGGTGTGGAAAGAGTTTTGCACGTAAAGAGACTCTTGAGGACCATATGAGAAGACACACTGGTGAAAAGCCGTTCACATGTGTTCAGTGTGGGAAGAGTTTTGTAGGAAGACAAAACCTTAATAAGCACATGAGGATTCACTCAAGAGAGAACGGTTTTAAATATCATCATTGCGGAAGTGGTTTCAAGGACATGAATTGCCTTAAGAATCGTGCAATAACTCACTCTGAAGAAAAGCCTTTTCTATGCGATCACTGTGGAAAGAGTTTTACAAATAAAGGAAAGCTTAAAGCTCACACGAGACTTCACAATGGAAAGAGGCCTTTCACATGTCTTCAGCGTGAGAAAAGTTTCACAAATCTAAGAGACATGAAACGTCATTTGCAAATTCCATCTGGAGGAAAGAAATTGGATTGTGAGAAGTGTAATAAAAAATGTCTCTTGCCAGTACAATTACAGATACACCGGAAAAGTCACGCAGATTTGAGACCCTATTCATGTTCTTTGTGTGGAAAGAGTTTCAAATGGTTTAGCAATTTAAAATGGCACCAGAAAATTCGTATCTGTGTGAAATTGAGGCTTCGTTCAAGCCGTAGATGAATGTGGGCCAAATCAGTTTTTTTTCCCCTCGATGTTTATTTGTGACATCCATAACTATGTTTTCAGTGGTATATAAAGAACTGGCTTAATAAACCGTAATGTTTTTATTACCTTAGAATGAGACATTTATATCTCCATAACAGCAGGAATCCCCTTCAATGAAGGTCGCCATATTGTGACGTCATGTTTCTACTGTAGCCAAATGCGAACAAACATCGCTACAGAACGCGTTTCATCACTACCTTGAAAGAGAAGCAACTGAAAGCTAGAAGCCATAAACTCCGTGAGTAGTGACTTTTCCCTGGTGAGTGGTGTAAAATATGTAGTTGGGATTGTTTCATGTAACTTAGTTCTCCCTCGCTGTGTAATGGGTTTGTTGTGTGGGGATAAATGTGCTGTTACGTTCATGATTCAGCTAATTAGTACTCACATCATTGACCGTAAAACAGTAATGTTAAAGGAATCACTAACCCGTCAATCTTGTAAGAGATCTAAGTCGATCGCGAAGAGTTTTCAAAATCAGAGAAAAAGCCTATTGTGTGTATTAAATGGTGTCTATGGGATGCGGAGGTGAATGCACTGTTACAATAATGTCATTTTTGCCGCACGCATATTTGGACTCATGCAGACGCATCGAGTGTAAACAAAGCTACGCTTTAACCAGTTCAGGACTGTCCACAGTAACAGCTCATATTAGCCAGCTAAACTTTTACTACCCTGTTAGAAAAAATATAGAGCTGCATAGATTCATGTGGTTCTTCTCCCTCGCTGTATTATGGGTTTGCTATGTGGGGCGAAATGTGCTGCTGGTTACGTTTGTGAGACAATCAGCTCATTACTATATTATATTAAATTATATATTAAAACCCTTGATTCTCACCTGACTATGACTTTGTAAACTTTATGATAACTTTATCCATGATGTGCTTTATAATGGACTGTGGTACAGAAACAGTGACAATATTAAACACTCTTGGCTTACTCAAACCTGGTGTAAACTCGCAATCGAACTGCTACATGTCGCTAAAAATCCCATACTGCACCTTTAAGATGATGTTCAAACTGAGTAACAGAATGTGGAAGAAAGCTGATTTAAGTGACTTGAGGTGAATGAGGTATTCAATTCAATTCAAATTTATTTGTATAGATCTTTTCACAATACATATTTCAAAGCAGCTTACAGAAAGCGCATTTCAGAAATGTACATGAAAAAATACATTTAGTCAATCATGTATTAATTTAGGGCATAACATATCGCTGCCGTTGAGTCGTCTCTTCACAGGCGTTTAGTCGTATGGTTGTTGGCCTAGACTGGCTGGTCTGAGTATTTAAGGAACTGCTAATATACTGGGATTTTTTTTATCTACATCTATCCCCTGAATTTACAGATAATGCTCAGAATAAGAGAAATGATCCAGTTAGCGGCATATCTGTGGGCTAAAATGCCTAGTTGATGTTAGAATGGCAAGACTGGTTGGAGCTGACAGAAAGGCAACTGTAATTCAAACCACTCGTATCAACCAAGGTCTGCAAAATATTATTCACACAGTCACCAGATCTCAAACCAATAGGGCAGCTTTGGGATGTGGTGGAACGGGAGATTCTCATGATGGTGTGTAGCTGACAAATCTGCAACAGCTGCATGATGCCATAATGTCAATATGGACCAAAATCTCTGAGGAATATATAAAGGCAAAAGGGATCCAACAGGGTAATAGGAAGGTGTGCTTAAAGGAACACTCCGACTTTTTGGGACTTTAGCCTCTTGGCCTATTCACCTTATCCCCCAGAGTTAGATAAGTCCATACATACCTTTTTCATCTCTGTGCGTGCTATAAGTCTGTTTGACGCACCCACCGCTAGCCTAGCTTAGCACAAAGACTGGATGTGAATAGTTGCAGCTTTCATACTAATCCAAATGAGTGACAAAATAAAGCAAACGTTTTCCTATTTACATGTTGTGGTTTGTATAGTCACAGAGTGTACAAATAACAAAGTCAAATGAGACACAGACATCTTTTAACCGTATAAAACCGGGGAACTATTCTCTGAAGGCGAAGCACTGCTACTTCGACAGAGTGATAACCGCATCACCTGAGACACGCCGTGGTGAGGAGAGTTCGCTCAGAGTTTGGGTAACAGAGTCAGCAATTTATAAATAGTAAAAGCGTAGTTTAGAGTCATGGGTTTTCGCTCTATTAAATAGCTGCGACAGTAAACAGGGGAGGTAATACCATGTTTCACAGAATTCCAACTAAAAACGCTGACTGGATGAAGAAATGGCTAACTTACTTACTCTGGATATTTATCCAAACACACCTAAATAGATTATCAAGGGACATTATGTTTGCTCGGTACATTTCAATGAGGACGACTATTTTGAAAAAATGGAATTTGCCACACGGACCATAATGTGCTGAAGGATACGGCCATCCCATCTATAGCACAGACAGGACAAGTGGATCACCTGCGGCTGAGGTAAGTGTTCCGTTATGTTTTTAGATGACCTACTGTAACAGTGCCATTAGCCAGATCTACCCCAGACAATAAGATTTAATTTTTAATATATATTTTTTTAACAAATATAATTTTACTCTGTTTATTAATGTTTTACTCAACATTTGTGCAGTTTTTGGAGGATTTATTTTTTAATATTTATTTAAATAGGATTTTTACAAAAAAAAAAAATAACAACAACAGCATTTTATGTTAAATAAACGTTATAAAATACCCAGATTTCTGACTTTCATTCCTGGGGATACCATAGATACATTTACAAGGTTTAATGTAAGATTTTTGCTCATTTTTTGGAAAATCCGGGTTAAAATTTGTAATTAAGTCACTTGCACTACAGTCCCTGACAAAAGTCTTGTCGCTTATCTATTTTGTAGAAACACCTGCTATTAACCTGTCTTTTAATTAATCAATTGGTGTTAGAAATAGCTCATATGAAAAGCTAAAACCCTCCCAAATGATGTTTAATGCACTGAAATAAATTAGTTTCACTGAAAGAATATTTATCATTTAAACAAGACAGAAAGGTCAAATTTTGGCAAGACAAAAGTTTTGTCGCCTATACAGAAACTGAACAAATTAACTGCAAATACAAAAATATGTCAGCAAATTAAATAGTGGTGCTGTGAGATCCAAATTTTATATCTTGTATGACTTCCATGAGCTTGAAGGACTGCATCCATGCGGTTTGGCAAGGATTCATACAATTTATTAATGAAGTCATCAGGAATAGCAAAGAAAGCAGTCTTGCATGCCTCCCAGAGTTCATCAATATTCTTTGGTTTCGTCTTCCACGCTTCCTCTTTCATCCTACCCCACATATGCTCAATGATGTTCATGTCTGGTGACTGGGCTGGCCAATCCTGGAGCATCTTGATCTTCTTTGCCTTGAGGAACTTTGATGTGGAGATGGAAGTATGCGATGGAGCACCATCCTGCTGCAGAATTTGGCCTCTTTTATGGCTGGGAATATAAGAGGTAGCTAAGATTTCTTGGTATTTTAAAGATTTCTTGGTATATTAAATTTGGATCTCACAGCACCAATATTCCAGTAGTGACATGGATGAAGAGTTTTTTGAGAGTAATGCCAACATTGATATGCCGACTGAAAATTTTGCAGAGGAGTTAAAGAAGTGGGTCAATGAATATAATATAAAGCACAACGCTGCAGACAAACTGCTCAAAATTCTCAGGGATCAAGGGCATAAACACCTGCCATCTACCACTAAAACATTAATAAAAGCGGATCATGTTGAAAGCCAAATGGTTTCTGGTGTCGAATGCATTAAATTAGGAGTGACTGAACAATTAATAATGTGCTTGAATCGGTATCCCAACAATTATGCAAAAGACATCACTGAACTTGAGATTTCCCTCAATGTAGATGGACTGCCACTCTTTAAGAGCACTGGTAAATCTTTCTGGCCTGTACTCTGCACAGTACATCTAAAACCAGCAAGCACATTTCCTTTTGACCATTGCCCTTACTGAGGCCAAGCCCAAATCACTGGATTTCATTAAAGTCATATCAGATGAACTGAAATCTATTCTAATGAATGGCTTTGCCAGGAGAGAAACAACAGTCAATGTGAGATTGAGATGCATTACCTGTGATGCACCAGCAAAAAGCCATGCTGAAGTGCATCAAACAATTCTCAGGTTACTATGGCTGTGACAAATGCACCCAAAAAGGCACCTGGGAGGGGCGCATCACTTACCAACAGGTGCATGACCTCACTTTGAGGAATGATGTCTCATTTAGAGAGCAACACCAGCCAGAACATCATCACGAAGATGCTGTGTCCCCTTTCAGCAATCTCCAAATTGACATGATCAAGTCTTTCCCTGCTGACTACATGCACCAGTGCTGCCTGGGAGTGATGAGAAAAATGCTCCTACTATGGTCACGGGGCATCGGCTATCGCCGGCTCAGCTGAGGGAGGTCAATCAGAGGCTGAGGAATTTGAGAAGTGACTTACCCAATCTTTTTGCCAGGAAGCCACGCAGTCTGGAGGAATTGGAGAGGTGGAAGGCCACTGAATTCAGGCAGTTCATGCTCTACACTGGCAAAGTTGTTCTCCGGGGAATCCTGCCAGAAACCCTGTACAGTCATTTCATGGCCTTTAATGTGGCTTTGTGTATACTAGTGTCTCCACATTTAACACAAACCCACAATGTGCATGCCCATGAGCTCCTCACATATTTTGTTGAACAAGGCCGGCACATATATGGGAAAGAATTCCTAGTGTACAATGTGCACTCACTGCTTCACCTCACTGCTGATGCCACCACATATGGATCATTAGACAAATGCAGTGCCTTTGCATTTGAGAGCTACCTGCACCAGCTGAAGAAGACGGTTAGATCAGGAAACCATGTTCTAGTCCAAGCAGTAAAACGGCTCCAAGAACGTTCACAAATTCCTATACAAGCAAGTGAAGAGAGACAAATAAAATTGAAGCATCCTAATAATGTTTACATTGTTAGCCCAACATCCTGCTGTGAAGTTCTGGAGAGGATCAACTCTGGAAAGCTCTTATGTAGAGTCTTCTCACACTTAACATCATACCTTTACGAGCCATGTGACTCAATGATCTACGGAGCCTATGTGTGTGGTCCATCAAAGATGCAGATTCTGGACGAGACAAACTTGCAAGGAAGGGCAATGATCCTTGAGGACGGGTATGGCCGCAAAGTTGTCTTTTCTCTCCTTCACGACCTTGATTAAAGAAATACGGAAATATGTACATAGTTAGTATTCTTTTTTTCTGTCATTGCTTTAATGTCTTAACTTAGATTTCATATTTATTGGCCCTCTTTTCTAAGAAATGTATGTTCTTCTGTTTGTAATGTAGGTTGGATTTTTGAAAATTCAATTGCTGTGGCGCCTGCATTATGGGTAGAGGAGGTGAATGGGGTAAGGGTACATGCACGTTCAGACACACGCACACACACACGCACACACACACACACACACACATAATTAATACTGTAAAAAGTAAGATGTGATTAACTTTTCCATGAAATGTTTTAGGTTCTGATTTGCTACTGGCCCCGTAGAAATGCTGATGCCATGGCAAAGGCCTCCCAAAAGGCCAGATAAGGAGCTCTGTAAGCGACATAAAATAAGAATACTCTCCAAGACTGGTGAGAAAACTGAATAAATATATAGTCATGTGGAGGTACACTGCCTTTACATAGTAAAATGATTACAAAAACTAAAAAAAAGACAACACAAATTTACTCTGTCCGAGCCAAAAAAGCTGTTGCAAGCTCAAATGTGGACACAGAGGAAGAGGTGCTAAAAGTGCGGAAGAAAAAAGTTCCATCAAAATACTGGTCAGAGAGTGAAGGTAAACACGCGATAGCTTTTTCATGCATTACTACGCTGTTAATGTATAAAAATCATATACCATGCTGCATGATTACAGAGATATACTGTCATCCTGAATTGATAGGAGAATATGAGATTCCAACTGAAAAAAGGAGAAAAATGGCCACATCTTCCCAAAAACCAGTAAGCCTTCCAAAGCCTCCGAGTTGTAAGTAACAGATTTAACTTTTCGTGTAATTTCTTGTGTTGTGTTGATTTGATGGTGGTGTGACCAGTGTCAATTAGTGAACAGGCAAACTAAGTGCATTGCCAGCTGGCGGGAACAGGCTATTTTGTGCAAAATACAAACAGTATCATGTATATAATGAAAATCCTATTTTAAAAATGTTTTGAATTCAGTTGGAGTGTCTTTTTTTGAGTGAGTTGTAGGTTGTTGTTTTTTTGTCATGGCATTTTGTGTAAGTTACAATTCCTTGTAATCAACTCCCCTGAACTATGAGTTTATCCCATGCTTCCAATGTCTGTTCTAAGACAAACTACCTGCTGACATCACAGTCACTGCTCACGCGCCTGAGGAAGATGAGCCATCCCTGCCAAATCTTTCAGCTAATAATACTTTCCATGGTATATGTTTACTGTTTGTCTACAATTCATCTGTTAAGATACATGTTTTTTAGATTTTTTTATCTTCAGTAAATTAAGTTTATGACTGCTTTTTTTATTACTGTCTAATCTCAATCTCCGTTACCTTAAATTATACGTTTATCTCTGTAAAGCGGCTTTGAAACAATCTACATTTTTAAAAGCACAAAATAAGAATGGAGATGACTTGACTGACTTACTATCCAAATTAGACTATAGCTACAGCATCCGGCAACACAGTCATGCCAATGTTTTTATTTTATTTCTTGAAGTACCCACCCAACAATCTCCCATCTTAATTTTTCAGATTTCCAGCATCTCATTGAGCAATCTGAGCAGCGGATGCTCCTCGCAATAGAGAGAATGTCCACAGATATATCAAATTCAATTGAGCGTCTGGTCCATGCGATTCAACAGAATCGTCCTGGTTCGGCAACCATTACAACACCACCACAAGAGACCATTGTGAGGCCCTGTAAAACAGTGCAGGAGCTGCAAGCTTTAACATTAAAACTTCAGAGCCCAAAAGAAAAAAAAGGATGGTATGTTGATATGGCACAGAGTTCGTCAACCTTTTTGTCACAAAGTGCCATTTTTAAAATTCAAAATGTAGATCTGTGTGCATGTAGGCTAATTTATCTGAATGAAATACATACACCTTTCGCATTTGCTTGTGTGCCAGCGATTATCCCTGCTCCGCGTGCCATTGTGACGCTAACATTTGCTTTTTAATATATGTTCCATAGATACAGTTTTTGAGCCTGATGGGAGGCAGCAACATTGGAGACTCTGTGAGGAGAATCCTTAGAAAAATAGCTACCAATGAGGCCTGGTCAAATTACAGCCTGAAAGGCCGAAAAGGAAAACTGACCTTCATAGGGACAGCCCTCCACCATTTTGTTTTAAGTATGCTTTTCAAAACTTCTCTCTTCTTCTCACTTCATCATGCAACTTTTTAAAGAGAAAATTATAAACAGAAAAATGTATGTACTGTCCATATACCTTCGGATAATTTGTTCTCGTTTTTAATTTCTAAACTGAAAAAATAAGAAAGGGCCCGGTTCCCCAATGACACTCACTCTTAGCACGCTACGAAGACTCGAAAGATATCTTAAAGGAGCTGTATAGAAGATTGTGGCCAAAACTGGTACTGCAATCTCTTTCAAATTAGGGTGTACTACACTTGCCCCTTGACTCGAGGTTGCCAAATATGCTGCAGGATCCAGCAGAAACGAAGTTCTTTCTTTTCTTTCTTTCACAAAGTATTTCGGATTCATTTAGAGTTGTTTTTTTGTTTGTTTGTTTTTTGTTTTTGTTTTTTGTTTCACAATGTTAGACTTTTTTTTATCCGATTCAGACACGTTTGTATTTGTAGCTGTGGTAACTAGAGAAGAGCTGGCAACCCGAATGCCACAACACTACTGACTCCGTGATTGGTAGATCGGTGAAGGGTGACACATCAGAACAAAACACAACATGACATCAATACCAGTCAAGGGCTGCAACTGCACTCTTTAATTGACAATATCCTGACTACTGTTGTCAGTGATATAAGTAGCCTATTTGAAATGAGCATAATTTCTTAATGTCTAGTGACATATCAGGGAAAAATTATGATTAATTGAAATACATTTCTTGCTTATAGCTCCAACCAAGTTGTTTATGGGGTAGGATTGTTCCATTATTCAAAATAAATAGATCATGATCCACAAATAAATGTAAAGAGATTCACAAAAATAAATCAAATTCACAAATAAATAGATTAACCCTTATGCTGCATTAGGGACATTTTTGGTCTTTTGCAGTTTAATTTCTTTGACCATTTTGGCTGTTTTAATGCAAATGGTATGAAATTTGGCAAAATTGTGACTTTTTGGATACATGTAAAAAATGTGATCCCATTTTGCAAAATATGTATAACACACACTGTGTAGATCAAATAGTAACACTCAGCACCATAAAGACCAAAAATGGCCCATTGAAACCCATTAAAACGTTGTTTAAATCTGAGGCTGTCAGTAATACATGAAACATGATTTTTGCACAAACATCCTTTCATTTTGAAGCAAAAGCATTATATTTGCATTATATAGTGTATTCCACCAGATGACGTCACTACATATTTATTTCCTATGGGTGGAAATGCACCTTATTTTAGGCAATAGGCAATGTTTAATAGGTGGCCATTTTTGGTCTCTAACGCGCTAAGTGGGATTTTTTGCAAAGTGGGACTGTGATAATCCAAATCTAAAGTTTTCTCTTTGCATTTAGTGTATTGAAAAGAATTGAATTTTTGTGTTTTTTCCTCTTATACAAATCGATGGTTTCGCAAACAAACTGGTAATTAAAGGGTTAAAATCCTGAAATTGAATACATTTTTGGTAGTTATGATGAGGACTGATGCTGGTTAAAAGATTTAACTTGGTAAAAGTGGAAAATAATAATAATATATAATATTTTAGGCAATGTTTAATATGTGGCCATTTTTGGTCCTTAATGCACTCAACGGTGTTAAAAATCTAATGCAGCACAAGGGTTAAGATCCACAAATAAATGTAAAGAGTTTCACAAAAAAATATAAAACTCACAAATAAATAAAATGAGATTTGCAAATAAAACTATGTATTTACAAATGTTTTTTTTTATGCCACAAACACAACTCTGCCTGGCATTTATTTGTGAACCGCTTTCTGTGCATTTGTAAATCCCCCCACGCATTTGTGAATCGGTTTCTGTGCATTTGTAAATCCCCTCATGCATTTGTGGATTTTGAAACACTTCTAGCGTCGACATGCTGACAAATCCACAAATAAGTGGACTCCACCCACCGTTTCCTCAAGCCAATCAGATAACGGCCACGTTGAGCTGACCAATCGCAGCACGTTCTCGCTACAACCAATCACGTTAGGCTTTACACTCGGGGCGGGACATGAATGTGATTCATTTTGAAGATATTTGCACCCATCTGGCGCTTCATTCAAATTGAGCTGTTTGTGTGGTTGCAACAACCTGTTTCCAAAAAGGTTGCTGGAGTTTAAGGCTTTTTTATATTTCCATCGGGATTACACACAAATTATGATCAAGATTCCCGAGCATAACACCCTCTACACCGGAATCAAGCGGCGCGACAGCGCGTCAGAAGCAAATGGCCCATTATCTTCTTGGCTGCCGTGGCAGTTTCAATAATGTAATACTAACATGTTTGTAATGTTAACATATTTTGCCCCTGACGTTTTCTTACCTGCAGATATATGACGTGTCTATAATCTTCTATAATCTATAACACATCATGGTTTGTTTTGTCCAGTGTAATGTTAGACAAACTCGCACGGGGTAGACACAATGTAAGAAAGGACAAAAAGGAGGATTTTGTCTTTAAAGTATAAAATAGCCTGCGATAGGACATAAATATTATGTAGAATACCAAATAGCAGCCCAAATGACCATCACTGAAGATGTAACCCATGACCCCATAATAAAGGGACCCACATCAACAGACACTGTAAGCGGGGTTTAAACAGCCTCTGCTGTCATTTACTCAATCAGTTGTCAGCTATCGGGTAGTCTTCCGAAATTTAAAAGACATACAACAGACTAATACAAAAGAAACGAAGCAGATAAAAATAGAGTCGGACATGGGAGTCGAACCTCTGTCACTAAGAGCAAAATGACACTGTATGCTGGCACGCAGACCACTGCCCTACTCAAGATGTTAAATTTGCTGGGTAATATAATGTACTTCACAGACATGAATGTAAACAGAGGCTGAAATCACACGATAAAGGAAAAAAGCGATAGCCTAAGTGCCCAATGAAGAAATAAAAATATGACAGGATAACATTCAAAAAACAGAACCTTAAAGACATATCGCTATTCAGATCGACAATCTACTACATATATCTTTCCACTAAACGTTACTTCATTAGATGGGCTGAACTTTGAAGAAAAGGGTGGGGCTGATTATAATATTATACAAAACGCCGCTTTTTACGCCGTCTTTGTCAGACAGAAGGAGATATATCCAGCTGCAGACCCGAGGCACCACCAGTTTCAGAACCCCAGTTTCAGAACCCCAGTGCCAGAACCGGAAGTGAGGGAGGGCGGAATTATTATTATTGCATTATAATTATTTTAGCAAGCATGT